CTCGTTGGCACCTTATGGAAACCAAAGTTTTTGGGTTCCGGGGGAAGTATGGTTGCAAAGCTGAAACTTAAAGGAATTGACGGAAGGGCACCACCAGGAGTGGAGCCTGCGGCTTAATTTGACTCAACACGGGAAAACTCACCAGGTCCAGACATAGTAGGGATTGACAGATTGAGAGCTCTTTCTTGATTCTATGGGTGGTGGTGCATGGCCGTTCTTAGTTGGTGGAGTGATTTGTCTGGTTAATTCCGTTAACGAACGAGACCTTGACCTGCTAAATAGTCAGACGATTCACGAATCGCTCTCGACTTCTTAGAGGAACTGTTGCGTGTTTAACCAAAGTCAGGAAGGCAATAACAGGTCTGTGATGCCCTTAGATGTCCTGGGCCGCACGCGCGCTACACTGACGATGGCAACGAGTCGCTCCTTCACCGAAAGGTGTGGGTAATCTTGTGAATCATCGTCGTGCTGGGGATAGATCATTGTAATTCTTGATCTTGAACGAGAAATTCCTAGTAAGCGCGAGTCATCAGCTCGCGTTGATTACGTCCCTGCCCTTTGTACACACCGCCCGTCGCTACTACCGATTGAATGGTTTAGTGAGGCCTCCGGATTGGCACTGTCAGATGGGCTTCAGCTCATCCGACGGACGTCAAAAAGTTGGTCAAACTTGATCATTTAGAGGAAGTAAAAGTCGTAACAAGGTTTCCGTAGGTGAACCTGCGGAAGGATCATCATCGTTTCGTCAAAGACGTAACTGTTCGAAAGCGACCGGGTCGTGTACCCAGCGCATTCGAATAACCCTGTGAACCTAACAAACCACAAAAGGGAGGTGGACGCCACGGCGTGCTTAAATGGGTTGATGGGCACATCGATCTGGAAGTTGAAATATCACTTCATTTCGCCATCGCCCGGCCTCTCGAGTTTTGCTTTTACAAACTATACATATTGTCGTTTGACTTTGTTTTCCGAAAAGTTATATAAAATGGATAACTTTTAACGGTGGATCTCTTGGCTCGTGCATCGATGAAGAACGCAGCCAGCTGCGATACGTAGTGTGAATTGCAGAATTCAGTGAATCATCGAATCTTTGAACGCAAATGGCGCTCTTGGTTATACCGGGAGCATGTCTGTCTGAGTGTTGGTTTAAAACGAGAAACGAACGCGTTTTCGCGCGTTCGATTCGATTGAGGCGTCGCGTTCGATTGTAAAATGACAACGCGTCCCTCGAAGTGCAGCACGCGCTCAACACGTCGCCGCGTGAGCAAGGCCTAAATTGCATTTTTAACCTTGCAATCGTGGGCATTCGTTGGCGCGCGCGTCTTTCATAATCCCTTAACCTCAGATCAGGCAAGATTACCCGCTGAATTTAAGCATATTACTAAGCGGAGGAAAAGAAACTAACAAGGATTCCCCCAGTAATGGCGAATGAAGAGGGAACAGCTCAACTTGAGAATCTCCGTTGTGTTGCAGCGGCGAATTGTAGTTTCGAGAAGTACTTTCCCGGCGCATCGAGTTTGCCTAAGTTGCTTGGAACAGCACGTCACAGAGGGTGACAACCCCGTACGTGGCAATGCTCGAGCGCTCGCGATGTGCTTTCGAAGAGTCGGGTTGTTTGGGAATGCAGCCCAAAACGAGTGGTAAACTCCATCTAAAGCTAAATACAGGCACGAGACCGATAGCGAACAAGTACCGTGAGGGAAAGATGAAAAGGACTTTGAAAAGAGAGTTAAAAGTACGTGAAACCGTTGAAAGGGAAGCGAATGGAGTTAGCAATTCGCCCCGCCAGATTCAGTTGCTCGCACGTCGCGACGTACGCGCTCTCGATCCGCATGGACGAGACGTGTGCGGGTGCGACGTGCGGTCTGCGCACTTCTGGCGAGCGAACGTCAGCGTCGGTTGTCGACGGGCGACAAGGACGCGGGGAAGGTGGACTGGCCCTCGTGGCCGGTTGTTATAGCCCCGTGCTCGCATAGCTCGACGGCGACCGTGGCTCGGCGACGCGTGCCTGGCTGGTGACTCGAACGATCGGTCCGGCATGTCGACCGTGGCGGACAGCACGCCTGTGCGCTCAAACCGCTGCCGGCCGATCGGACGATGTTCACACACTACGCGTCAATGATGCTGACGGCCATACGGCTCCATCCGACCCGTCTTGAAACACGGACCAAGGAGTCTAACATGTGCGCGAGTCTCCGGGTGATCGAAACCCGTGGGCACAATGAAAGTAAAGATCGTCCTAGACGATTGGGGTGAGAAGCGAACGCCCCGGCGTTCGCGGCATCATCGACCGACCTATTCTGCTCTCAGAGAGGTTTGAGTAAGAGCGTATCTGTTGGGACCCGAAAGATGGTGAACTATGACTGAATAGGGTGAAGCCAGCGGAAACACTGGTGGAAGCTCGTAGCGATTCTGACGTGCAAATCGATCGTCGAATTTGGGTATAGCGGCGAAAGACTAATCGAACCATCTAGTGGCTGGTTCCCTCCGAAGTTTCCCTCAGGATAGCTGGAGTTCATACATGCAGTTTTATCAGGTAAAGCGAATGATTAGAGGTCTTAGGGTCGAAATGACGTTAACCTATTCTCAAACTTTAAATTGGTAAGAAGTCTGACTTGCTTAATTGAAGCCAGACACTCGAATGCGAGCTCTTAGTGGGCCATTTTTGGTAAGCAGAACTAGCGATGCGGGATGAACCGAACGCCGAGTTAAGGTGCCAAAGTCGACGCTCATCAGATCCCACAAAAGGTGTTAGTTGATATTGACAGCAGGACGGTGGCCATGGAAGTCGGAATCCGCTAAGGAGTGTGTAACAGCTCACCTGCCGAATCAACTAGCCCTGAAAATGGATGGCGCTCAAGCGTCGCACCTATACTCGGCCGTCGGAACAAGTGCGACGTTCCGACGAGTAGGAGGGCGCGGCGGTCGTGACGCAGCCTTTGGCGAGAGCCAGGGTGAAACGGCCGCCGGTGCAGATCTTGGTGGTAGTAGCAAATATTCAAATGAGAACTTTGAAGACTGAAGTGGAGAAAGGTTCCATGTGAACGGCAGTTGGACATGGGTTAGTCGATCCTAAGAGATAGGGAAATTCCGTTACAAAGCGTCCCATTCGTGGACCGCCTTTCGAAAGGGAATCGGGTTAATATTCCCGAACCAGAACAGGGATACTGCCACCTAGTGGCACCAGCGGCAACGCAACCGAACTCGGAGACGTCGGCGAGAGCCCCGGGAAGAGTTCTCTTTTCTTTTTAACGGGCAAAGTTACCCTGAAATCGGTTTAGCCGGAGATAGGGTTTCACGTCCGGTAGAGCCCCACACTTCTTGTGGGGTCCGGTGCGCTTTCGACGGCCCTTGAAAATCCGAGCGAGTAGTTCATTTTCTTGTCTGGTCGTACTCATAACCGCAGCAGGTCTCCAAGGTGAGCAGCCTCTGGTTGATAGAACAATGTAGGTAAGGGAAGTCGGCAAAATAGATCCGTAACTTCGGGAAAAGGATTGGCTCTAAGGGTTGGGTCTGTCGGGCTGGGACTTGTAGCGTGAGGATTCGGCGTGGACTGACAGAGATGCGTGGCTCGCTGCGCGTTGAAGTCGGACTGCGAAGGGACTTCGCGTGGATTGGCTCAGCTGTGACCGTCAGGTCGATTCGGCAGGTGATTAACAACCAACTTAGAACTGGAACGGACAAGGGGAATCCGACTGTTTAATTAAAACAAAGCATTGCGATGGCTGGTGACTGGTGTTGACGCAATGTGATTTCTGCCCAGTGCTCTGAATGTCAAAGTGAAGTAATTCATCCAAGCGCGGGTAAACGGCGGGAGTAACTATGACTCTCTTAAGGGGGCAGTAGCAAATAGGGGGCAGTAGCAAATAGGGGGCAGTAGCAAATAGGGGGCAGTAGCAAACAGACCTTCTCGTGGTTGTCCCTGTCAGCCATCAATATATTGTGACGGTTTAAATTAAATAAGTGCTGTATGTGAAGTGCTTCCGTTACATTTCAGTCTGTATTGGAAAATCTCATTGTTGGTTGCGAACATGTTTGCTAGGTTGCGGCCGGGCCGAACCTCCGTGTCGGATATACAAAATGATTTAAACACAATAGGTGCTGCAAGTGAAGCACCTACCGACACTTTTCCAATTGGCGATAACGACAATACGTCTCCGATATTTGTCTGTCAGTATTGTCAAAAAGCGTATAAAAGCGATCGAGGTTTAGCCTTACATCAGAGAGCGAAGCATGAAGAATTTTACCATGCTTCCAACGTTCCAAAGGCGCGGAAGAAGGCACGTTGGGATGATGAGGAACTGGTTCTGCTTGCCAGGGAGGAGATTCGCCTCACTAGTTTAAAGATAAAGAATATCAATGCTGAGTTAATCAAGGTACTGCCACATCGAACGCTTGAAAGCATTAAAGGTGTGCGCCGTAAAACTAATAAACGGTACCACGATTTTCTTGGCAAATTGATGACCAATCCTGCTGGTGTCGTGGATCCTAATGGGCAGGCCTAATCAGTTCGTGGTGGCGCTCCTCCCGAAGGGGTTTCCGACCCTGGAAGGAGTTGGAGAGCTGATGACCAATCTCTCCATCTGGATCATGATTCTTGGATAGCTAAGGTAAGGAACGAAATTGTTGATTTCGAGTTTCTTGCCGGCTTGGACGTTGGCTTGATTAAACCTGACTGTCTGTCGGAAGAAGACAAGGAATTTATAAACCTTGACTTCAACCGTTGGGTGGAATCGATAACTGCACATAATTGTGCAGAAGTCGTACCACCCGGACCTAAAAGGCGTGGAAGAGTTGGTACCAGAGTAGCAAAGGCGCCTGGTAACGTATCTCATGGCGTCAGGCAGGAAGGGGAATCGACAACCGCTACTTCAGTGGAAATCGTACCCCCGAATGCCAGGTCCAACAAGCGTAAGAAACGGAAACGCCCTAATTCGTCTTGGGGAAGAAGGGCTGCATATAAGAGGACGCAAGACCTCTTTCGTAAGAATAAGTCTCGCTGTGCCCAGGATATTTTGAGTGGTAGTTGGGAGCGCCCTAGGAGAGGTCTTCCATTGGAAGATCAAGAGCCCTATTGGCGTGGGATATTTGAACAAGAATCGGTGGAGGACCTTAGAACTCCAGAGCCGGTTGGGCCGGTATTGTGGGAAATGATTGACCCCATCTCCTCGGCCGAGTTGGAGACCATCATGAAAGCGATGAAGCCTGGAGCACCTGGACCAGATGGGATGGTTCTGAGTCGGTTAAAGCATCTTAATTGTGAAGAGCTGAGAGCAAGGTTCAACCTGTGGCTACTGGCGGGTTACTCCCCGACCAGCTGCTGCATGGGCGAAACCGTTTTGCTCCCTAAAGATCAGAACGACATCAGACCACCCAAGCATAGGCCCATAACAATGGCCAATATAATTGTAAGGTGCTACCATAAGTTAATGGCGAGGAGAATGGGTGATCTCATGCCCATCTCTGATAGGCAGAAGGCTTTTCGGGCGGGTGATGGGCTAGGAGAGAATGTCTTTCTCCTGCGAGCGATAATCAAACACCATACGAAAGGGTGCTTGCCTCTCAATGTTGTCTTTCTGGATATCTCCAAGGCGTTTGATTCGGTTTCGCATCAGTCTATTCTGATTGCGGCAAAGAGAATGGGTGTGCCGCCCCCTCTGTTATCATATCTGCACGAATTTTATTCGCGCAGTCAAACCCGATTACGGGTTGGTGGTAAGAAGAGCGAACCAATTTCGGTAAAGAGGGGTGTTAAGCAGGGTGATCCGATGTCGGTACACCTTTTTAATGCTGTTATAGATTGGGCATTATCAACTTTAGATCCCGATCTTGGCATTAAATTTAATGGTGTTAATTTAAATCACCTTGCGTTTGCCGATGATATTGGTCTATTGACCAAAACATCGGTTGGTGCGCAGAACCAGATTGACCGCTTGAACGACCATTTGAATAGGTGCGGACTGTTTATAAGCGCAGGCAGTACGGGCAAGTCAGCGTCCTTGAGGATTGATGTAGATGGAAAGAGAAAGTTGTGGGTAGTCAACCCCAATGTACATCTGCATGTTGCGGGCGAGGATATTCCAGCTAAGTCCATAGGGGAGACATATGAGTATTTAGGAGTTCCACTCTCGGCTAAAGGAACAATACCCCAGTCTGCCAACAAACTGCAGAAATACTTGGATAACCTAAGCAGGGCGCCTCTGAAGCCCCAGCAACGGCTGTACATTCTTAAGCGACATGTTATTCCAGCATTGTATCATCAGCTGGTGCTATCTGACTGCTCCAAAGGGCTTCTCAAATTTCTGGATGTGAAAATTAGAGGCGCGGTGAAAAGATGGCTTAAGTTGCCAAAGGATACGAACGATTTCTTCATCCACGCGCCTGTCATCGAAGGGGGCCTGGGAGTGGCTGTTTTGAAAAATGCCATTCCCCTAATGCGGAAGAGCAGGCTCGAGAAGCTCCTTGGTAGCAGTGATCCTGCTGTCGCTGCGGTTGCTGGGACTTCCTTTGTTGCGGACATGCTCCGTAGCGACTCGGTGCCACTACAGGTAGCTGGCATTCCTATCTGTAACAAGGAAAATTTGAAGAGAGCCTTAGCATATGGTTTGCATCGCTCTGTGGACGGCTCTGGTTTGAACAAATGCAGTCAGGTCTCCATTGCAAATAAATGGGTGGACTCTCCCACCCACTTAATGTCGGGTGCCAATTACATCGGTGCCATTAAAGTGCGTGGAAACCTGATGGCTACAGCAGCCAGAATGGCTAGGGGCCGTCCCCAGCGTGATGTGGCGTGTGATGCCTGTGGTCGCACCGAGTCATTGGGACACATTCTGCAGGTGTGCCCAAGAACCAGCGGTGCCAGGATTGATCGACATAATTCCGTGCTTGCTAGAACCGTTAAGGTGTTGGTTAAAAATCATTGGTCGGTTCTTGTAGAGCCAGCCATTCCAACACCTGCCGGAATTAGACGTCCTGACATCGTTGCTTGGAAAGGAGGGTCAACCTGTTATGTTATAGATGTTACGGTGGTCGCCGATAATGCGGATTTAGATCGGGCGCACCAATTAAAAATAGAACACTATGACACGCAGCATGTCCGTGACTGGGCACTTAGGGTGAGTGGTACTGCCTCGATCACCTTCTCGTCCATAAGTTTTAACTGGAGGGGTGCCCTGGCAGGGCCATCTTACGAATTATTAAAGAACAGTCTCGCACTAGGTGAATATGAGATAGCACTGCTAGCTACAATTGTTATGGAGAAAGGCTACCAAACTTGGCTAGATTTTAAAAGATCAACGTTTCGACAGAGGTGGAGAAACGGATGAATTGGAACATTAATATATTAACATTTTTTTAGTAATGAACGATCGGAGATGATACTGACATGAACAATTTTTAGCTGTACTTGACGACTAAGAGTCGTTTCGCCTTATGTAAATATTTTAATTACACATTTTATGCATTTTTATATCATATGTGAGAGCTGCATTAATTCATGCT